CATTTTCATGTCAACATAATTAGTGCACTAATCCTCAGCCAATAACCATTCAACTTTTCTCATTTTAGCTCTTAACTGCAGGCTAATTCTGTGTTCAGCCCACTCTGACACGAGCTAAACTGATCATGTGCTCTTTAACTGGGAACTCATTAAAGCATGCACTCTTATACACTAGCAATCTTCAGGGGAGTGGATGAAGTTCTTGTCATTTCCTGTGATTGGGGAGGGGGGACTCATTCATATCAATATTTTGGGGACTCCGAATCTACAACCTGTCACAATCCCACAGTTAGACAATGAAAAAGAGGCCTGGATGCTCGGAGGCTCACCTGCTATGACAAAACCGTTGTTTTTGGCAGTCAGTAATTTAAGTACTTGTCAGCATTTCAGTCTTTGATTAATTTCCCATTTCCCTTAACAATCATACTCATAAATCCTCTGACAAGCACAGATAATGTGCACTAATCATTGAAGGTAAGACACTTTCAACTTCTTTGTAAACATCTCTCAATACAACATCTTTGTGGGCAGTTTTTCATATATTTTCTCGCCTCCGCTCCACAGCAGAACTGGAGAAGCTGTGTTTTTTCTTTATCTGCAAGACATCTGAAACTCCCCCTGTGCTACGTTAGTAACTCGTACTCTCATTTCTGCCTGTTGTTTTGCTGTAAACCCCCCCCCACCACCACCACCACCTTCCAAGTGTTAGCTGTAGTTATCTCAATTTACAGATCACCTCATTATTTTTCTATTTCAATATACAGCAAACCTTTTCTTCTTTTTTATTATTCATATGGGCACAGTGTGCTGCTCTAATCACATTGTTGTTGTTCTAATTAGTAAAGTGGTTACTGTATGAAATGATCTCATCTGGTCATGGATTCAATAATCTCATGCTTGAAAATGTGTTTTTTTGTATGTTGTCAGGCTTAGCTTTATGCTCGTTTTATTGGAGTTAACATGCTTTCCATACTCACTTACCTCATATCCTTTTTGAGATACTTAGATACATTTTATTTATTTATCTCTATCTTTTAATCCAAGTAAGACAGTAGGCGTAAGTGAGGAAAATGATTATAGGACCAGTTTGTATATTGTGTACAATAATAAAGAGAGTAACATGAAATTCACATCATGTTATTTCTTCTTTTGTTTTTTGATGTCCCCTACTGTCCTTTTGTGATTTTGTGTTAATCAGGTTTTTACATAATTTATAAAAAAAAAATGCCATTTCAACCTTCATTCAAATGTAGAATTGTAAAAAAAACAAAATAATAAAAAAAAAATCACACACAAATTCTCAAACTCTGTACTCCAAATACAACTGTTTCAAAATGACTTTTGGAGATTTTATCTGCTGTACTCAATGAGTGTAAGCTTTATTTTTTTTTTTTTAAACAGAAAAACAATAAATACGTTTTCCTAGTGTGTCACTTTGATATGGTCTCTACCTTTTGTTTCTTTTCTTCTCCACAAACAGAAAGCTTATTATCCACATAAGTTATTCAGCAGCTGTGGAAACTGGGTTTGAATTTTACTCTCTGTACCTCAGATATAGGATGGTAGAAATTGTGTCATCCCTCAGTTGTCATGTAGTTTGTAGTGTAGTCTGATCCAGAACACTGAAATACATTTATGTGACGAGTCTTATAGGCCTAGCTTGACACTTGACTGGAACCTTTTTAATATGGTTGAATTAAAAGACTGGTAATTTAGTTTGTCATTAACTGTCCTTCCTACAGCAGGTTTTCTTCACCTCCCTGATGTCAAACCTAATATGATTAATTTTAATATGTATGTATTTTATGGATCCCAGTTTCTTAAAAGTTTCCAAAAAGGAACAGTAAAGTCAGGAAAATTTCTGAAAGAAACTAATTTAGTTATCATTGTTTGGAATAATGTGCACCAGTTAATTTCAAGGAACTGCTTGCATAACCTATAGTCTTACTATCAGCGGTGTAAGCATTCAAATGTAAAATGTGTCTATTGACAAGCATTTAACTTAGCAAATGTGGCGAATGTAACCTGTAATACATTTTTCCTTTGTCAGTCATAAAGGTATATTAGCAGATCTTCCAACACCTGTTTATGAATTCAGCACAACCATCTAAATGCAAATGACTCTGATTTTTCCAGCAATTTGTACCAAATGTACCAGAAAATGACTAGGAAATTATTGGACCTTTTAGAATGTAGTGTAGAATAAAGTGCACAAAGTACATGCTTAAAATAAAATCCCCCTTTACCCCCTAAAATATGAAACCCATTGATGCCAGGTACAGAAAAGAAAATTTATCTATATGAAGGAAATTCTCTGAAGGCAGCAGGTGTCCCTTCCATCTGCAGTCTCTAATTTGAATGATATTGCACACTGGTAACTCAGAATTACAAACCAGATCTGATGGTTACATTTCTAACGAAATTATACTTGAACATAACTTGATACTACTGACCATGTTTTAAATTATTTCAATCATTTTATTAATGGCAACACTATGGTATTTAAGTGCAGATGGTTATTGTATAGATCATAGTGACATAAAATGACACGTAAAAAACATGGTTACCCTCAGACCTTCAACATGTCCAGAAAAGTGAATTCAACTTTAAAAAAGACATCATCTGCTCTTGGCAGGATATTGGAGTTGCTGTATTCTGAATCAGAAATTATTTATTCATAAATGAAACTGCACATCCCCTGGCAGCATTAAATTTACTCAGAGGAAAATTGTCCACGGGATTAAAAATGTCAGTGTTTCATGATGGGAATCATTTTTGGCTTAGTAAATTAATTTAGATTAACCATAATTAATTTTGCCTTCATCATGTAGACCTTTTTTTTTTTTCTTTTCTTGGCACAAATGGGTTTCCATACTAACATGACTCAAGATGATTGGGAAGAGAAATATCCTGGTTGTCTGTTAAACTCTGTAATAAGACTCATTCTTCTGATTGACCATAGATTTTTTTTTTCTTTTTCTTTTTTTTTTTGTCACGGGTAAAAATTATCCAACATTTGGTGATTGTTCTTTTTACATGTAAAAAAGATGGACATCAAAAAGATGAATATAAACCTGCTTTTATTAAGGAAATGTAATAAAATCCTTTGTACATGACCTCCCCACAGAGGTTCATTGTGTCCATACATGCAACTCACATGGCTGAGGTACCATTACAAATGACCTGGAAAAACTAAAACCAAACTGGATCAAATGTCGTTATCGGACACTAACTAAGCCAGGGTTCCATTTCGAGTTGCATTTTGGTCAAACTATCACCAAATTCACATGCACTTTATCTGGGGAGAAAAAGGATGAGAAAGTCTGATATACTAAACAAATGTAGGCGTACATGGTTTGTAGCGTTTGTAGGTTGTTGTTTTTTTCTTTAGTTTATAAAAACGTTCACTTATACAAACAGACACATGTTTCATTTGTAGCTCTTTCCTCAATGTACAGCTTACCAGCTCACCTTCTGCATAATGCATAGACACAGAAAGCTTATCACAACCAAAGAAGCTATGGTGTGTTATCATTTACCAAAAATGTAGAGATTCACAGCTGCAGATACTGCATTTACATGAGAACAGCTTCTAAGTGTGTACAAAGTGTAAACCATAAGCTCAGTTAAACCGTTTGAATATGCTGATACATAAAAAGGGGTCCCTCTCCTAGTCCCTATGGATTTATAATGCGTTTGATTTCAACAATATGGCACTAAGTGATTAAAAGCGGACCTCATTTAAAAAATAAATAAATAAAATGTCTTGTTTCAAAATAGTGGCAGTAGAAACAAATGCAGTCTTACATGGTTGATTGAAAAGATGCATCTAAGTGAATGCAGTCAGTTGTATATGATGTCCAACAGGCTTTGAAAATAACACCACCTAAGCGTTTTCAGATGACCACTAGTTTCATATTATTGAGTAAAAACTGGGGTACAACGTTGTCAGTTTAATTGATGCTTACCCTATTGATTGATGCTTGTCCTAAATATCATGAAACTAAAAATAGTCTTATAGTAAAACAAGAAATTTACTTTACTTCACTAAATATAACATTTATCCAACTGAAGATTTCACCACAAAAATATGTCTGTAAAAGATTCAAATGACTTAATAAGTACTCCAGGATGTTCTGATTGCAAATCATGGCTTTTTTTTTTTCTTCTTCAAAATAGAAAACAACTGAACAACAGTTCATCTAATTGTCATTTGAAGCAATGTTCTGCCGTAGTTCCACATTATTTTTTTCAAGTGAATTAAATTTGAATTGCATTGCAATGACGCCAAAATGCTCCATAAGGCACTACAAGAGGCAAATCTCATGTTTCCAGAAGCAAAGGTCCTGTTGCGTCATTGCCCTCTGTTAGTGTGACAGGCCTCACAACCCATAATGAGCACTTGTTGACTTGTTGACTTGTAGGCTTGGGTCCAAGCTGATGACAAAGAAGGCTGTGGCCTCCAGGATGCCAGCCTCAGGGTGTCGGGGTCACACAGAGTGGCTGTTTCCATCCAGACGCTCCAGCGGGAATCGACACGTTTCACCTCTGCAAAGCCAAGAGATGTGCAAAGGATAAGGATCAAATGAAGTAACTAAAATATTCAGCTGCCACTACAGCATAAAATCATTAAATAAAACACACACAAGTAAAATAAACAATAGAACGTTTGGGTTGAATTAACTTAAAGTTAATAAAAACTTAAATATTCCAGTAAATTCCTGTATTGTGTTTTACTTTATGTTTACACTTACACAGCATGGAAGCAACAACAAAAGACGTACCCTCTAGATTTTAACACTCTCTGTCCCGTACACGTTGTAGCCTTCACGGTACGTGGCAAAATTCTGGGTGTTTGCCGGAGGGGCTGGCTTAAAGTTTTGGGAATTCTTTGCCAGCTTCAGTTTTTTAGTTTCTTGCCGTGACTTATAGCAGAACTCTATCAAAGCCACAGTCATAGCCAGGCCAAGCCCCCCAACCAGAATATAGAAGACTCCTGCCACGTTGCTCAGGCTTAGTGCACTTGTCTTGTCCTGGGGGAGGTAAAGACCACCGTTAAGACTTTTTTAAACTGGCACTCTGAGGCTGACCTCAAACAACATTAACACCCACACCAACACAAATCCTATATGTACATCCTGCTGGGCTATGACTACACAGTAACTCTGAGGAGGTTGATAAATGTGCCTACAAAACCCTCTGAGAAATATATGCCTGATTTAGCCTACAAGAGAGATACACTGGAACAACTTAAATGCACCTAATTCCTCCTCTCAGGTCACTTCTACTCTACTGAGCTGGGAAGGTGAATGTAGAGAGAGTTGCCATCTTTCCTGCTTTATGGTCTCTTTACGAGACCACGTCTAGCGGAAGGCGGTCGTGGTCGTACAGGTCTACAGATTAAACCCTTGATTCACTATCATAGCTGCTCAACTTCAACACATTGCATTTGTACAATCAAAGTGGCAAGCTGTGGATGAACTGAACCATTTTGCTGCTATTAAAAGCCAAACAGTAATATTGAAATTAATTTATGTGAGATTTACCATTTGCATTCTGACCAGGGGGATATTTTGGAGCCTTAAAGGTAGTAAAAATTTTTTACCTTAAGAAAATCACTTAACTGGCTCATAAAGTTCTTTATATTAATAAAAGAAAAAATGTTCCTTACTGTGACACTCCATCTATGAGACATGACTGTTAAATATCATTTGACCACTTTGTGCTCAGATGGTATTTAAAGGTCAGTTTGGACAGTCAGAATAAGGATGCCCTTGGGGAACTAGACAGTCATATGGGAATTGCTCTACGCAGTTTGCATACAAATGATGAAGACCACCAATAAACTAAATTTCAATAAAAGTTTGGATGACAAAATAGCAGTATAATGGTTTCAATTCTATGATTCAACTTTTCAAAAATTTAATGGTATGAATAAAAAATAGTGTGTGATCATGCTGCAATTTTACAAATCTGGGATTGTCTATATCGTACAGTAGTAATGGAGTCATGTTAATGTAATGAATCATGATCAGAGTGTGAATAAATTATGTGTAAAGTGAATCTATTTTTTAATGGTTTACACAAGCACGTTTTCAGATATGTGTCGTGTCCTGATTAACATGTCTGAGAGAATGTGTGCTTTAGATGTTTGCATATGAACAGTTAAGTCAAAATGCATTTTGCAATCAGTATAAAAAGACCTGCAGCGACTGACCTTACTTCCAGAGTCCTTGGTTCCACATTCACCCTTATCGTACCACCATTTGTTTTTCAGCTTGTCTAAGATGCCTTGTTCACTGAGTTTCAATACTGCAAGGTTTACAGGAGTTCTTCACGTGGGAAATAACATAAATAACATTATATTATGTTATTTTATGTTATTCAACTTTTTTAACTACTTTATACTGTGCAAAGCGATAGAGTAGGGTCCTGGCCAACACATCACAGATAGCAAGCAACACTACAGTATATATGTATATATATAAATATATGATCTTTCATAATCCATGACTACCCTAGCATGCCAGACCCCACCTATATCGCTTTGAGTAATCGGCACACACTGATCACAATGAAGAGAAAAGATTTGAACTTGCAGAATAAAGCAGCTGCTGCATAGCTTTAACAGAATGAAAGAAAACAGAGGTAGTAATTGCTGAGGGCACTTTTTTTTGTTGCTATGGGCAGCCTTTTTGATGTTTAGCAAGGTGGATCTAACAGGAACCCTTTCTTGACTAACAGACAAAACACAGCAGTTCAATTTCAATGACAGTTATTAGAGGCTAATGTCTCACAAAATCACCCCTCTAAATCTGTGTTCCCACACGGAGAAACATCTGTGCCAATCAGAAGAGCAGACGTGTTGATTTATAGGCCTGCTTCCAAACGTATGAATCAAATCGGAAGTGATCTGAGTTTATGTTTTTGAATCATTACCAACCAGTTGAGGTCAAGGAAAATGAGTTGAAGGAGTCTCTAAAGACACCACATCCCTGATGAGAAGAGTCATAGTTTGGGGGTTTTGTTTTGCAAGACATTGTGCTTGATTTCCTTGACTGACAGATTTCCAGGCTTATTTCCTTTCAGAAAAAAGATCAGTGTTTGTAATCCAACATTATTAAATATATTGTATTCACCACTGTATTCTTTGTTAAAGTGAATACATAGAAGGAATGTTTTCTGATTATTTATACAAAAATAAATGAATCAAAGAATGCATGCATGATGTTAAGTGGATGGCCTGCAGTCCTGTTCTCCAGTCAGAGCTCTTTGAAAGGCAAGTTATGATGACAAGGACAAATAGCAACTTGGATACATGAATTCAAATGCAACAACAAACTAGAATTGACACTCCTGCACCAACAATCACGCCAGCGGGCCAAATTCTAAATCGTTTTTTTTTTTTTTCCTCTGATGCAGACTCATCTGTTTCACTACTTTATGTCTTTTGTTGGCAGAGGGGCAGAGAAACATTCGAACACGGACTTTAAACTAAGTGGTTGTTACACTTTATAAATCAATTTAGATGCAGTGAAGATCCTACATACGGTGATCTGTAATGGCATTATTTGTACAATGACACATTCTGAATGCTTAAGCTCTGAGGTCTTTTGATGCTTTTTAGAGACACAATGAGGATGATTTGGCTAAAAATTTACAATTTTTCATTTTAACTGTGTTCTTGGAATATCACATTCATTACAATAAAGTGTGGCTACAGTAACTGATTCGGTGTCAAATTTACATTCCTGCACTTTGATTCCTCCATTTAAGAACTTTTAGTCACATAAAAACAACTACAGCTAATTAAGGTCATGACCCTGTCCCACAGAATTGCGATAGGATGATCTACTCTGACTCTACTGACTTGCCTTTTCTCTTGTTATTAATTATAAATCTACATTTTTTTCAGCTCCAAGCAAACAAAATGGGTGAACTGCAACAATCTGCTTGTCATCAGATGAAGACCCAGGGCTCGGACACACCACCAGGTGGTGGCCATGGACTTTTAAATAATATTTGAAGTGCACGTTCCAGGTTCACATGTTAAAATATTTCGCTGTATATTTTCTTATGTGAAAAACCTCAATAAAAAGTTAAGTTTAATCATTATCAGTATACTGTAATTCTATATTCATATACTGTAATTCTACGGATAGAAACAGATTATAGCAATAGGAAGCACACGTTTTACACTGGGAACTTCTGGACTTAACTGATAATTGAATGTGGATGAAATTACATTTAGTCATAAAAGATTTTACATCATAATTCAAAGGGTGCAGCTCTAAATAACAGTCATCATCCCTGCTGGAGCCTTACAGAGAAATCAAAGGGACTTCAGAGGTGAAAAGGGCCACTTGTTCAAGACAAACAATGTGGGTAGTGGAGAGAAAAAGGAAAAAATGACATCCGTTTCCTTTCCGACTCCCTAAGCACCTTGGGTTTGTATTTTTTTTTGCCCCAGGGACACAAAATCACAGCATTAAACTAATTTTGCTCTGTCGCCAGTTGCAGTGTGGTCTGTAAAGGTGAATGACTCCACATGACATTTACTGTCAAAGAGAAAAGCACTGTGAGCTGTCCCAAACCTCTGATGTAATATCAGTTCACAGCTCTGCGGAAAGTGAACTCAAACAGATAAAAACAAACAGGTGATTTATCAGCCCTGGCTTGACTCACATTTACCAGGATCTGAACTCAAAAGAAAGCAAAAACCAAGAATTATAATAATGCACTGTCGCTACGGCTACTATTTGAATTGCTACAGCACCTTTTTACAAATACAACATATTATGAAATGTAGCGAGCAAAAACAAGTTATGAGATGCAGTAACACTAAAACTGAACTGTTGAATTAGGCCCACTGAGCAAAATCTACGTTATACTGGAAGTACTGGAAGTCACATACAGCATATATGCGCTTGCCAAGACAATTTACTGTAAGCCTCATTTCTGTTTTCTATGGTTCATAGGTTTTATAGTTTTTGCCAAGAACAAATTATTTTATATTAATCAAACAATAAATGCATAAAAAATTTAAATCAAATATATAAATATAAATACATACAAATATATGTATTAATAAATGATTAATTCAATTATTGTAAACTAATTATTGTTTTTTTAGATATTGAAACATTGCACAGCCCACCTACTCACCGGGCCACTATGCACTTGCGCATTTTAAAATGTATACATTTATATGTATATTTATTCTTCTTATCTTTCATGTTTCCTTTTTTAATTCTTATTTTTCCACCGTGCATTTCACTGCACATATATGAGCATGTGACAAACCTTTTTGCTCTGATCTTGAATCTGTTTCACTGAAAATAATTCAGTGCCTCCTTCTGAATGCCTACATCTTAAAAATGTAGCTTTAACTCAAATCTTAATATTAAATATTAAAAATCATAATTAGTAAGTATAATGTATTATACTATAGTCACTGTTCAAGACATAAAAACATAAAAACACACACATTTTATGTTATATAAATATTAGTCACCAGCACCAGAATACAACAGATCCTCTGTCTTCTCTCACTTCTGCATTCTCTCTGGTGACTGATTATGTAAAGGCTCGTTAATTTTGCATTCAGTTGACAGGTCACATTTCATTTAAATCTGCCTTTAAATAATGTGATTTTTCTCCTGAAAGCAAAGAGATGTATCTGCCTCTAACAATCTAAAGTACCTTGATTCTCTCGAGGACTAAAGCTCCTCAGAGGGCACGAGGGAAATGTTTTAATGTTACTCATTTTGAACACTTTAAAAACACTTTTACATTATGAAATGTGATTTCTATTGCTTTAAACCTAATTGTTTTTTCTCAGGCTGGTTGTTGCCAGCATCTCAAACTTTAATAACATTTTTGTGTTAAAAGGAGTATGAATCCAACCGTCGGATTAAGTACAGGGGGTGGACAGAATATCATGAACACCTGTGCAATCTATTGCAATGCAGTGCAACAGCTAGTGCTATAAATCTTACATTTGTGAAGTTTAATAATTCATGTTGAGGCTATGTCAGAGTGGTATTGATTCACCTCTATAGTAATTTTGGGGGTCATAGCTTGTGTTGTTGTATTATTACCTCACATCTTATGAGACCTACAAGCTTCACAAAGATAGTATTTATTGTTGTATTGGATTCGATACATTGTACGGGTGTTCCTTTTATTGTGTCCACCCCCTGTACCTGTCTGAGTCAGTTGGACTTAACCTCCGCTCCCTCTGATTCAAGTCACATCAGAACTTTACCCTTCAGTCTGTCTGCAAAACAAGAAACCAGTATCTAAAAAAAAATTCATGAGCACACAGAATAACAAACATTAAAAACCCATGCACAGTACTGACTCTCATGGCCAAATGGATCACATACTGTATGATGTCAAATTAAATGAACATTACACAGTATAAACTACAAACTACCTATAAGGATGTAAAATGTGATTTAACATTCTGTCTCAAGTTTTGTTTGGTTCATGTGAGCATGTAAAAATAAAAACAGTAAAGTATCTCTATTGATTTCTAGTATATATAAAGGTAAATGCTGAATTTAACTTCAGCAGCCGAATGGCAATATTTCATTGATGTTGTGATGTTTTGGCGTGTATTTTACCAGTGGTAGTTACATACAACATATTTTCTTCTCCTTGTTAAATTACCCACACATGCATTTCTGAAAGTGAAATAAGGACAAAGAAATGTGGCAGTCTGATGTGATAGTGTTACACTGATCATCTACTCTCTTTTCTAATCTGAGGGGTCGAGGCAAATTGCCAGCGAGAGGAGACGGCTTCTTTGTGTTATCCCACTGGTAGTATCCATATCCTGCTCACTCAGGAATGGATGACTCGAGTCAATAACAGCAAAGTTTGCTTTGTCTCTTCTCTCACATTATGCCAACCAAGTGTACTGTGGTCAAGATGAAAGCTGAAGAGCAGAGACAGACAGTCGGGCTCTTACTGCGCCCTGGCGTCTGAAACACAAGATCAGGGGCCTCATTTAAAGAAAGGTTGTACAACAGATTTGATTGAAAAAAAAAATCCTCATCAGAAAGAAAGATCCCAGCTCTTCTGCAGTGCTGAGCATGCTGCACAGCTCTACAAAAGTGAGACTGTGTACTTTTCAATGAAGAACTAACACATTCTTCATCTTACAAATAAATTAAGAAGCAATAAATCTCAGCCCTGCTTTAGTATTCAGTTTGCTGCTACAGTCTTTCATGACCTGCTATGACCAGTAGCTAATAGTGGCTAACATTTGCTAACTTCCTTATATATTTTTTGTATATAAACGTATTTTTTACCAACTTGTGTGTAAATAATAGTTCAACCTCTTTGTACAGCTTTGTTGTATTTGTATTAGCTGTATGTCTATTTCTATTTTCCTGTAAATTGTTCTAGATGCGAGTAAATCTAGACCACCTTAAAATAAAACCGCTTTTCTTAACTCAAAATCCTTGTGCGTGTACACATACTGGCCAATAAATCTGAATCTGATTCTTCTACTGTTAGCTAATTTTAAAGTGCAGATATTGTGACTGACTGTATGACTCTTCTCTACTTGTGCTACTGACACACTATGTTTTAGCATCTCAAAGATAAACATTTAAGTGGTTCCATCACAAAATTAAAACAAGAAGTAAACTCACCAGAAAATTCAATGTGCCATTGTCCTGTAATTGCCATGTGTGGCCACAATGGCCACTGTTTATCAAAAAGTTGCATAGTCTCACCTTAAGATTTGAATGCTTCTTCACTCATTTGTATATCTTTGTGTATTTGTACATCAACTTTATGCTCATTATGAAAAATTATCTGAATGTGAGATTCAGATCAAATCTACTTGTACAAATGGGGCCCCTGGTCATATCTTAGACTCTACTACTGCAGGGTTTACCAGGTCAGGGTGGCCATGGATAGACTTTGACTGGCCTTGGGTCAAGACCAACCAAAGGTTTCTGTCAGTCTTACGCTGGATTTTGGTGAGAGGATGTTGGACAAAAAGGTTTGGACCGTTAGTTGTCACTCTGTCATTAGAATTCTCACGTTTGCCTGCGATGCTTAGTCCCCTCAAGACAACGCTGTCCCCCGTGCCTGCCCTAACACCCAGGCGGCAGATTGGAGAGTGCATATATTGATTGTGAAATGAGATTTGATCTTCGCTTTAATCCTTCTGGCATTAGTCTGAATGCTACATTTAAAGATACAAAGCTTTCATGTTGGCCTGTAGATATAAAAAAACAGGGAAAGATGGTTTCTGTCTTTCATAACTACAGGCCAAAAGCATAGAAACAACTACTTTGTCAATATAAAATCAAACACTTAATAATTAGTTTTCGGATCTTCTTCTGTCCTTCTTCTGTACTTTGGTTGGTTTCACATCATTGGGCTTTTTTTCCCTCCATTAGCCAAGTAAAGGGTTCCCAGTTGATCACAGTTACACTATAAAAATGGAAAAACAAACAGATATTTTCTGCCCAAAGACTAAAGTCAGTGACGACAGCCTTGCCGATTACTCTGTTCTAGGATACCCGACTTTGGTGACATTGAGGCTGACCTTAGAGTCACCTCCCCCGCTGCCGCACTCTCCCTTGTCGTACCACCATTTGTTTTTCAATTTGTCCAAGAGGCCTTGCTCATTCAGTTTTAACACTGCCAGGTTAACAGCATTTCTTGAAACGATAAAACATAACTTGTAAGAAAATGAACAGGTCCGTGAGAAATCTAATATAGAATATTAGTAAAGAAATAGTGATAAATATCATTGGTTCATAAGGGGAGCACGGGAGGGACAAATTGGTAAAGAATTTCACTGGTGTGGAAGGGTAAGAAGCATTTTTTACAGCAAAGAAAATGTTAAATATTAGAGAGGTGGCATGGAGGGTTACATTGCTTGTAACTGAAGTGTGCGGGATGGGGACATTCTGTCATTGTTGAATTAGAAATAAGAACATCCAGCATGCAGCTTAACATTCATCACAACTGACAGACCAGCATTTTAACTAGCAAAAAAGACATATATCAGTGTTGAATTAGAAGCAAAGCAAAAAGGGCACCACAGAAACCAGGAGGGAGGGGAAAGAGCAAAACAAACAAGGTTGGGGTAGGTGACAGTGCACATCGGCATTCAAATGGATTTACTGAGAGTGACTAATATACCATTAACCTTAAGAGAGAAGAAAGTAACAGAGACACAAACCAGATACATGGGACAGAACAGAAAATGGCTGAATGTGTTAATTAAATTGAAATAACTCATACTACGGTTCACTCATTGATGCACTTAAAAAAAGAAGAATTAAAGAGTGAGGAAGAAGAAAATGGCAAAAGGAGACATCAGGGTAGGTGGAATACTATAACAACATGGACTATATTGTTATATTATCCCACCCACCTTAATGCAGAGCCTTTAGGTGTAGCCACGCCATAGCCCTTTGAGTCGAGGTTGCCGCCCACTTTCATGGTGTCACATGGCTTCCGCTGCTCTATGTACTCGTTCATGGTGGATTCGAGAAGAAAGGCAAACTTTCCCTTCGACTTTCGTACTCGAGAAACCCCATCTGGCGTTGTCTTGGCAAAGACTGAGGGTTCGGCTGATTTCATGTATGACCACATTTTCTCATAAACTGCTATTTTGGAGCGCTGCATTTGAGGACACAGAGAGAAGACAGAAACAGTTTAGTTATGCACTTAAAAACATAGACAATCATAAAACCATTCACAATGAGCTGCTGTGGGTTTCAGTAAAAGGAAAAGTTTGTCATTTTGGGAAATACGCTCAGTCGCTGTCTTACATGAGAAGATTGATACCACTCTTGTGTCTGTGTGCTAAGGGTAGAGCTGGAGCCAGGAGACAAATAACGGGACTGTACGAAAATTATTGAAGTGGGGGCTGAATCTGATATTTACTTTTCTAAAAAGGCAAGACCCTCTCAAGAAGTATCAGTATTGTCAATGGACCCTCTCCTTGGCTTACAAAAACTGCATTAGTCTCCCCCAGTCTCTCAAAATAATATATTTATGGAAAACATAACAATCAAATCAACTAAATCAGCTAAATCAACAGCTAGCACTGATACCAAATGACTAAACAAGGCTCAAATACACTCTCTGGAGAGATCATGTTAAATGACTGATCACAATAAAGACCAACATCTATTCTGTTTCTCAAAACTGACTTATGGCTCCTATAATAGTTTTACGTTTGTATTTTTACAAAAAATGTTAAAATAAAACAAAATATGAGTTAAAAGGCACTCCTCTGTTCTCCAAAAAAATTTACCCTAGACTACCCTCTTCCGCAGGAAGGAAAACTGTTCTGACTCTGCTAGAATCAGCCAGTAGTCTATGTAGTTCAGAATACGTATGCCCTGCAGCCTGAGCGGGGCCAGGGCTGCATCTACGCATTTTGTGAACATGCGGGGTGATAAAGCTAGACCGAAAGGAAGTCCCCGATACTGGAATTCTTTGCCCCCGAAAGAAAACCTCAGGAACCTCCTGTGCTGAGGGAGGATGGAGACATGGAAGTAAGCATCTTTCAGATCTATCGTGACAAACCAGTCCTCGGATCTGATTTGAGTCATGATCTGTTTGAGTGTTAGCATCTTGAACTTGAGTTTCTGTACTGAACGATTCAACAGACGAACATCTAAAATGGGACGCAACCCTCCATCCTTCTTTGGAACAATGAAATAACGGCTGTTAAAACCCGGACTCTCTGTCGGGTGAGTACACCTGTTCTATAACTTCCTTCGCTAACAGGGCCTTTACCTCTTGCTTCATTACCAGAGCCTGCTCGGGATGCACTAGCGTGAGCAACACCCCGTTGAATCGAGGAGGACGAGAACCAAACTGGATTCTGTATCCTTTCTCTATTATATGCAGGATCCACTGAGATATATTAGGAAGTTTTTTCCATTCTGACAGAAAATCTACTAAGGGGCCTCTGGTGTAAGTGAGGCACTCACTACCCGAACTGCTTTTGAACCCTTCTAAGAGAGTTCATGTCTGACGTTCGCTGGAGACCACTGCGCCCCGAAGCACCAAGGGTGGTGGGGTTGGCAGCATGATCCCCTGAGGACACCAAGGTGGACCAGACACCGTATACTGAGGTGTGACCCGCTCCACCCCGGGTAGGGCTGTCCTCACAGGACCTTTTCTTCTGTGCCGAAGCTTTCTTAGTCTGAAGAATGGTCCTCAGATCCGGCTTCGACTTAGAGGGCTTCGGCTGAGAGCGTTGCGTCTGCTTCCAGTGTTTCCGTGGAGGTGCACGAGATGCACCTCCAGTGCACTGGAGCACTGCCATCGTGTGAAGACATGCTCCAGCTTGACGTGCTGCCGTATATGCTTTGCCCACTAAGTTGGATGTTGTTTTTAAAGGCTTAGTGGACAAAGCCGAGACCTTCAGAGACGATGCTGGACCGGGCGATAGATAACTCGCAAGCGTCTGCTCGGCCCGGGGCATCGACTCATAACCATACTCCTTTAACCCTTTTATACCTGAATATAATCGAACTTGAGGGCTAAATAATCGTGAAGAATATGGTTTATTCCACGATCTAGACAGCTCACTGTGAAGATCGGGGAAAAAGGGAAGGCCTTGTGGTGGAGGTGAAACACTAGATGTGTCTTTTCTCGGCTGGCCAATCAATATGTAATTTATCTACAGCACGAGTGATCACCTCCACCAGCTAATCATATGCTGAGGAAATAGCTGGCGAATCTATTTCCCCCGTGTGTGTGCTTTCACTTGCCATGCTCAGCACATCAACCTCCTCGGAGTAAGAGCACTGAAGCATAGGCGAGCTCTCTCCCCAGGCGGAAGAAGCCGCAGAGCGGGCTTCCGACACCGGGGGGAGAGCACTGGATCTTTCAGGTAAAGAAGGCGAAAAGGCCCTCGGATCCGTCTCCAACCCCTCTGAAAGATCCTTTTGCGATACCCAGGAATGCATTCTCCGTGTTGCCTTGGCAACAGCGGGTCCTGCACCATGAGGATCGCGAGCCTGGCCACTCTCATTGAATAGTGACAGGTGGGAGCGAAGCATGCGAAGCGGTAACATCTCGCAATGCTGGCATTCAGCCCCCTCGAAGGCTGAAACCGCATGCTCCACTCCCAAAAAAATGACACAAAGCTCGTGTGTATCCCCACCCGTTAAATAACGTGGGCAGGGAGAAGCACACTGCTTGTACATTTGTTTCGCCATAATAAATACTTCCAATAGTAACAGACAACAATAAATAGACGGGACAGTAGTACACAGATCGCTTGCTGAGGCAACAGAAGCTGATGCCGGTTTGCACCGGATGCGCTTTTATCTCTTCCTGGTCATGACGTCACCAGCCCATGACGTTCATTCCTTCCATTGGACTAGTTGACATAGATGCTTCAGACGCATTCACGCTGGGGGCATTCCCAAAGCGTTATCGACGCATAGTGAGTTCCCTTGAAAGGGAACATATTTTTATACAGTCCCTTACAGTGGAGGCACAGGAAATAGCTAACCTGGTTCTTGTAATTCAGGAGCATCCCTACCAGCCCCTCTAAAGGTCTCTGAAGTTATATCTTGTTTGTTTAATCCCGACACAACCAGAAATGCAGTCTTTGTGCTAAGCTAAGATAATCGACTCCCTGCTCTAGCTCCATACACACGAGAGTGGTATCAATCTTCTCATCAATCCCACAACAAGACAGTTAATAAGCGTAAAATGTCAAACTGATCCTCTAAAGTACGGAAAAAATAATGTCTGCACTTCCTGGTCAAGCCCTAGTCCATGATGTCACATTGGTGTGAGCAGAAGTGCAATATGCTTAAACATTTCAACACACAGAGGGGCAGTGCCCTTACAGCTTTCGGCTTCTTCTAATTTAGAGTGGATTTATCCTTTACATGTAAACAGTACAGCGGAGGTTGTGGGCTTCTTGCCAGCAGCCTGAAGTCTGACAATCTGGCAGCTCAGCAGAAGCAAAATGCAGGCCATGTTTGGTATCAATGTTAACAGACAGAAGTGACCTCCTCCTCCTCCTCAGTTTGTGCCCCTGCCAGCAGGTCACAGCTGGAGTCACAATCATCATGGTTTCATTTTTATTTAAATAAAATCATCCATTTTATCAGTCTATTTGACTATTGTGCTTATTCAACATTTACATTTTAAGGCCTGTTGTGCAGCTTGATGATATAACAGCTTGAAATACGGTGTGTAGGTATTGAAGACATAAACAAGTATGGGACACCTGTAGGCTCTCCACTGAATCTTTAAGTGCAGAAACTTCCAGTACACGCACACGTGGCTGCAGCACACCAGGGTTATTGTGCATACCTGTAAAGTGCCTCAAGTCAATAATGCAGCCAACAGCTCCCTCTCTATACTCTATTTAATATAAATTAAATAAAAAGTATTTTAGCGGCCATGTCAGGGCGTCATCTATGGTGCAGAGTTACAAGTCGTTAATGAAAGTTGAGTCAGTTAAATGTTTATTATGATATATTTATTTTGGGTTTTATACTACATCATATGTGTTTTAAAGATGATTATTGTTTAATATGTTCTGTATTATATAATATACAGTATGTTCTATTTTATAGTATGTGTAATATAAGTCTGTATTATGGTAAAAGAGAAAAGAGTGGAAAGAAGTGAGGACGGAGAGACAAACTAGCTAGAGAATCTATTTGAATGTCATTCTGTCTCAGTGGTAAAGTCACTCTCTTCAATTTAATCACACATTATGTTGCGTAAGTTGATCTAATTATGTTTCATAATATAAGACCTACAATTTTTTATGTTTTTCCTTTAATATGGTATTCCACATTAATATAAACTAACCCAGTTCAAAAACGATTGAAATCATGAGGGATCAGGCACTTCTATTGAATTGTCATCTCTTCTCACATGATACTCGTTGATCCATATGACATTAGATTGTACTATTTGTTGTTTGACAGTCTATAGGACTCCTTTTGTAATGATAATATCTTTACACATTTGACCTGCTTACTCTGCTTAAAGACGGCCCAGTCAGCTGCCAGCTGGAGCTGCTATAGACGTGCACAGCCCTGCCCTGCTCTGACACTCAGTACGCTGCTAAAAATGGCCAGCGAGAGGCCGATCGCCGGTCACCAGGGAGCTGGAGTATACAGCTGTCTACAATAGAAGACCGGGCTAATGCGACCTTCTGCTGAGCTTGGTGAGGGAGAAGAGCCTCAGAGGGAGCTTTTCATATTTCTACATGTCTGCTTGTCAGGATTGTGATTAAGGTACATTACAGGCAGGTTCATAATCTGGCAAACAGAAAGCAGAAGTGTGAACAAAACATCTGACACCAGGACATGTTCACAGAGAAAATTAAATAATATTACTTTTGTATGATTTACATAACATTTTATTTCCCTTTTATAATTTATTAGTGCTCAAACATATTTCTCATTTACAACAGCAAATTATAGTTTGCTATTCTGTGTTTCTTTATTTATTGCATGTTTAATTATTAATTAATTAGTTCTTGTTATAACTGGGCACTAACATATGTCTTTACTTGCTTATTTATAACATTTGATGTAAATGATGTTTGTAATATTTGACTGGTTTTATCCAGCAGTTGTGTGAGTCAATCCCACATCACATCTGGTAGGTGAAACAAACTATGTCAGCTCAGTGCTGTGTACGGCCCTGTTGTGTAAATAATTCACCGGAGATGTAATGGATTGTGGGCTCAGGCTAGTAAGTGAATCATTCTTGACATATGCACGATTTCAGTTCAGTTGAGTGTACATGTAAACACTCTTAACATGACAGTAATAGCTGATGACAGGCTTGACCATAGTGTGAAAACAGCAATTCTTTTCTGGGTTACATGAAGACGCATGCTTGTCAGGAGCAGGTCGGTCGCCTGTGTTGAAATCTGTGAAACTCCTCATGCTGTCATAATTCTCACCAAGCAACAACAAAGACAAAGTATTCAATAAATTAATATTAATGATCTTTTAACTGACAAACAGGTCATCCTTTGGCCAGCGAGGATTTTTGTTTTTACTGCCCCTCATGCATCCTGGAAATAAACAGGTCTAAACTCAAATACTTCCAGCTACCAGTTCATCTGTCAGTACTGAAGGCCTGAGAGTGATTCATTGCCCTCTGAGTGTGTCTGTCACACTGTCATCCTAAAACAGAGTCGACAGGCCAAACAAAGCATGTGTAATCTTTCTGCTGTTTTATTTTTATCTGCATGCAATTCTTAGTTGCATGCATGGTGACTAATTCACTGCATATTCATGATCAGTGGAAACAAATGAATAAAGTAACTAAATAGTAGCATGGCTTGTTTAGCACTAATACATAGTCAAAGTAAAAACTAAAAACTATCCCTAACACATTTTAAGTTTATAATAGAAATTAAACAAACAGCAACATATATATCCTTCCTCCTACTACTTCTTACTTGTGCTCTCTTTTGCCACTTTTACTAACATTATTCACAGTCAACCCCTTAAACCTCTATATACACGGTACAGAACACAACCGAATGAGCCGAGTAAGTTGCCAGTCTCAGTGGCTTGTTAAAAATAATACTGGAAAATGTAGAAAATCACAGATGTATTGTAAGTAGAAGCAGGTGAAGCGGGTTGAGGAAATAACATCCGCAACAATCCATCACAAAATAATTCATCTAATGTGTAGATGTAAGAGCTTTCTTTCCTTTGGCTTGACACTTGCGGACATATCTTATTTGCTTTCTTGCAGAGAATTTGATGAGAAGATAAATAGTGCTCTTATTTTTGTCTGTTAAGTATGAAGCTGGAGCCAGGATACAATTAGCTTAGCTTAGCATACAGGCTGAAAGCAGGGGGAAACAGCTAGCCTGGCTCTGTCCAAAGTTTAGAAAATCTTCTACAGCTCACTAACACATTGTATCTCATGTGTTTTAATCTCTACGAAAACTGAAATGTAAAAATGACAAGCTGTGGTTTTATGGGGAAATAGTTTCCCTGTGAAACAAGGACTTTTCAAAAATCTTGTTTTTACATTTCTGTTTGTATATGGAGTAAACAAAGGACATTTAACGTGTTAATTAGTGAGCTTTAGAGGTGCTGGTGTCAGATTTTCAAAACTCTGGACAGAGGCATGCTAGCTTTTTTCCCTGCTTCTAGTCTTTATGTTAAACTAAGCTAATCATCTAGTAGTTCCAGTTTCATATTTAGTGTACAGACGTGACAGTGGTATCAGTATTATTTTGATCTAACTCTTACGAAAGAGAATGAGCATATTTCCCAAAATGTAGACCAATTTCTATGAATATGGTATACACATATCCTAAACCAGATTTGATACCTATGGTCTGAATTGTGGAATTAGCATAAAGAAATAAACAAATGTAGGTAATGCAGATGAGGATAAAAATTAAAAAAGTAAATCCATAACTCCAAGGCTTTGCAAAGCCCAGTGGTTTGAGAACAAAGCATGTTTTAAATCTTTCTGAAAACCAGAAGATGAGTTATTTATCATCATATATTATGTGCATTGAGGAGGCTGTATGATCTGGATTAAGTGATGCAACCCTCTTTAAAGATCAACGTAAACGATATTTACAGCTCCTATTAATCATTAGCTTTGAATCACCAGATTTCAATAACTGTTGCTTAGATTGGCTCCTCTGCACTGACATCTCTAGTTTGGAGGAAGAAAGGCAGAATATTTGTCACTCAGGATGAAGTCACTACACGCCTGTCAATTATCTCCTCAGGAACACCTTTGACAAATCACAGCCTGCCAAATACATCACGGATTAGCACATCTACCGCTGCTTATGCAGCTGCTTTTAATGTGATGATTCACCAGGAAGCCTCAAAAATAATCAATTTAATATATTTGGTTAATTAGAATGTTTCTTTAAAAACATCCAATAGACACGTCAAATGAGTATTTTTAGGGCTGCTAGATGTGTAAGTCACCTACAATACTTTCTTTGTTTACTTCATCATCTCTTTTATAATGTTAAGTTATAAAGACAAATGGAGATGTCTGCTGAAAAGTCTCCATTTTGATGGTGTTGCACTGTCGCTCTTCTCGCATCATAAACTCATTTTCAACTTCAATGGCAAAAAACACAACTCCTCCAAACTTTAATGTCCTGTTTAATATCGCCTCGTTTTTCAGTCCCTGCTGATGATCATTACACAATAAAAAGGGAAAAAAACAACACAATCTTTTTCGTCTGTGAGACTCTACAGCTACATCTAATATGAAATGCTTAGCCTCCTAAATAGATCTTTGAAACTGTTGAACATTTTAGAATCTGTGGCAACCAGCTCCTTGAATTTCCCTGCAGTCTTTGGATTCTCTTTGCAAAACAAAATCTTTTCTGAGCAGCCACACTTTTCATGTTTAATGATGTTTAAAGCATTGCAGTGCAGGACACAGCGAGTTACTGATGGCCTCCTCCACACTGATTGTGGCGATTGCTCCATTTGAATGCTTTTAGACCTCAGTTCAGCTTGGCACAGCAGACTATGCCATTGTGCCGCATTGCTTTTATAAATGAGCTGGGTCACAGAAGCATTACACATGCCTCCACTGGTCTCACATCCCTGCAAAATCATTCCTTTGCACTATTAAACACACAAACAATAATAAGAATCTTTCATCCCAAAGGTAATGTTGTCTCTTTTGGCTTTTACGCCTCTTCTCTTGAGAGCTATGCATACTTTTATTTGATTATGTATGGACTGGCTCTGTCCTGCCGGCAGTGAATGTAAAATGGAGCAAATAACAGACAGATACATGCTGTCCCTTACTGGATTGTAGCATATTTACACAAGCTGTCTGCAAATCTCAGAAGAGATTGTAAGATAACTCCCGGTGGACTGAGGCAGTGTCTGAAACCAATACACAATGCCTTCCTGATCACTCCCAAGTCTAACCGAATCCAGGGTTTGTATTTATGAAACGTCTCAGACTCGCAGCAATACCAAGAGACCGTCTAGGACTAAAAATAGACACAGCTCAGAGCTGGACATTGGATGTGAATGACATTTCCAATTCCGAGGAATAGGACGTCTTCTTTTAAAATTGCAGTTTTGTGACAGAAGCCCACAAATTGGAATTATAATGACATCTTGTAGTTCTTCTTGAAGGTTTTTTCTAAAGTTTCAAACACATAGACAGAAGTGGCCTGACAATCAGACTGAACCGTCATTTAATTTCACTTGTATGAATTGCTGCACAAATCAAAGATGTGGGCAGTGTTTCGGGGGCTTGCACAGAGCTACATCATCACAGTTTGATGCAGAATCTCAAAATGGTTTACTTATTATAAGACCTACAAGCTTACACAACCTGTCACCTGCTTTTCTGAATGGCCAACACTAACTGACGTTAAATTAGCAGTGTTTTTACGACCGCAGCCTTATCTGTTTTTTATTACAAGACGTTAATACACTGTGTGACCTTGTTGAGAATATTTGCGCCCTTGCTTTGGCAGCACTTTTGTGTAGCGGAGATAGAAGTTAATCTGCATATTAGTGGAGGCAAAGTGAGGCTAATCAAAGTTTGGTTTATGACTCTGGTGGTGGTTGGACGAGGGAGCATAATTGTCTCAGTAGAGTAGCTGAGTTATTCCTGTTGCCAGAAAGTATAAAGCTGGAATAAAAACGTTTGGTTTTGATGGAGAGAATCAAAGTTAATTTTGTGGGCAAAATGGATTTGCAACCAGGCTGATAACAGGCGTTCCCTCCTAAGCCTCATGCCATGATTTAGTTTTGTGGTCACAGTAGGACTGGTGTTCTGTTCTGACACTTTTAAAATATGAGCTCATCTTGGCAATCCATCCCAAAGCAGCGTCTTTTAAGCTACTGAACAAAATAAATGCATGTTTACTCCTTTAGTAATACTTAATTCGTTTTTATAAAACAATGTGTACCACTGATTTATGATGTACTGAATTAATCAAGTGTAGTTGTAGGATTACTACTTTGGAAGTGCTGAATCAGAGAAAAAATACAATTCTAGACATTCGATTTATTACCTGGCAGGCAATAAATCAAAACCCACAGGAATACTCCAGAGACTTCTGTGCTTGTGGCCAACATTAACTACTGTTAGAGCAGCTCTCGTTATACAGTGCAGTGACAGCATGGACGACAGCCAGTTGAGACACTCACCCTAAAGAACTCCTTCGTGGAGCCTGAGTCTAACGTCCCATAGGCAATCTCTGTCTGCTTGGCCAGGTCCTCTGCACTCTCGATGGGAGAAACCATTCTCTCCACGGTGAGGAAGGCAGCCAGGTTAGCCGTGTAGGAGGAGATGATGATGAGGGTGAAGAACCACCACACTCCTCCGACGATACGCCCGGACAGAGACCTGAGAGGAGGAATCAGAGCAGATACATGAGAGCAGCATGCTCAAATCTACAAAGTGAGGGGAAGAAAGTGACTCCTATGACACATTACCAGCTCAGACCTGGCTCCATAATTTGAGGAATTTTGTACTTTTAGAGAAATTGTCCAGGTAACCCATTAAGTGATGAGAACTGCAATATTATCCCCTTTCCCCTTCTCCCTGCTCCATGCTAACAAGTTTTTGCATAAAGGAATTAGGTGAGACCTTAAGAGTCCATAGGTGTGAGTGTGAGTGTGGTTGTTTGTCTATGTGAGGCCCTGCGATGGACTTGCAACCTGTCCAGGGTGTACCCCGCCTTTCACCCAATGTCAGCTGGGATTGGCTCCAGCCCCACGCGACCCTGTACGCAGGATAAGCGGTTGACGATGGATGGCTGGATGGATGGATGGAATTAGGTGAAGTATCATTAACTCAATATAGCTGCCTTTACAGCTGATTCATTCTTTGAAAGGCTCATTAATACAACATACTGTAACTATGTCCCCATTTTGGAACTAATTCAGGTGAGCAACCATCCCAGAAAGCCAACTATGCTCAGTCCAACAGCAGCCTAAATCCAGCAGCCTGCAGAATCACGCCAGACCTTTGATGAGCGCTGCCCTAGAATCTGGCCAAGATTACTTGGGTTAATTCCAGGGAATGCTGGCTCATTGTTAGCCTGAGTACTGCTATACTGTGTATATTTGTTGTCTTTGGTGAAACAAAGCAGGTCCTGGTCAACTTGACATTACCAAACAACTGTGAGGATTTTGGTGCTTCAGGTGTATCTGTTGGTTTAAAGCTGCAGCTAGTGTTTGGTGCATCTGTTTTAAAATGTAACACTCTCGACCACAAGTTTAGACCAGAGGGGACAGAACAAGTCTGAAGTAAAAGCACCATGAGGCTCGGTCTGCTGTTGAAGTCACGGTGTGATAAGCCAAACCGCTTCGTCACATAGATACTCCCATCCTGCTCACTGGTCCTTAACTAATTCTTCAGTTTTCACATAAACGTAAAGGCTCCGACTTTAAAACTGTGCCTCGCAGTGCAACCTTGGGTTCATATTTTTAAATTTGACTATTCTCTCTGGTACCATCCCCTACTTCCACGATCACACATGCATTCCACCGAGTGTGCTGCTGTCAGATGAACTCACATTTCTTACGAGGAACGAGGATCCATTTACACCGCATCACTGCATTGCAGATGTACTGGTCTAGATTTCTCCTAATATATTGTATTCATAGCTTATTCAAGTATTCATGCTTTCCTTGTGGCGCTTTCAAGTTGTAAATATTTAGTTTGTACTTCAGAGTTGCAATCAAACCTAGGCGGATTTTGTTGAATTCTTCTCTGTAATTGGCTTATAATTGTGATGATTATAAAGAATGAGATCACATTAAGGTCGATGATACTTGTGAGGAGTTTGTCTAAATGTGGTTGTGGCAGATGCAAAGTTGAAGCCACAAAAATGCACTAGAGACAATATGTAGAAAACAGACAATACACTTCACCATCTGGTGATGACAGTGCCCTGAAAACTACTGGGGTCTCATATATAAAAGGTGCGTATGTACAAAACAGGGATGGAAATGTGCATACACCACTTCCCAAGCAAAGGTTGTGATCTATAAAAAACAAACTTGGACACGGAGCTCCCTCACATGCGCCACATTTCAAGTTCATTATGATTTATAAAAGGAACTTGCTTACAAGTGTGCATTCACACGGTTTTATAAGTGTGAATATTTTTGGCTTTTAAGGTACACTTTTAGTGAGGTTTCTACGCACAGTTTTAGAAATGAGACCCCTGGTCTGTGCCAGGGCTATAGAGTACTTTTTAGCAAAAACTCGTTTCAGCTTTCCAGAAGCTGCTCCTCTCCGATCATATGCAGCTGTCATCAGAATCAATCCGCTAATGGGACAACTTACCATGCCGACATCCAGCTGTGCGGCTGACAATCCACAATATGGACAGTGAAACGCTATTTAGATGCACTTGTCATTCAGAAACTACACTATCTTTTTTATGTTAAATGACCGTGTTACTAAATGTGAGCATTATTAGATACACTTTTTATTTATACAGATATTGTGCCACCATTCCTCTTAGTGAATATGAATAATCAAAGGGTTGTTCTCTGCGTGTTTCCCTGAAAAAGAATAAAAGCTGAAAGAATGCTAAATGTCCCACTATTAGATACCAACATTTTTTCTCTATATGGCATATCATTAATCGACTAAATAAGACTCTGTGAAAACGTCTCCTTGATTTTTTTTACTTCAACCAACTTCTCTGCAACCTTTCCAAAGTCCCATAAGAAAGGATGACAGAGGCAAGAATCCTTGAAGAAGAGGTCAGGCATGCCACAACAGTGATGAGTAAAGAGATGGATGATGAGTGAATAGACTGGATGGCTGAATGGCCATTGCATTGGCAAAATACATAATGTAGTTGTGGTGCCACACAAAATACGTTATATGCACCAAGTTGATGACCGTAAAAAGGGACATGCAGCAAAAACACGGTAGCCCTCCAAGAGTCATGGGGAATTCAGGCAGCTACTTTGAATGAAATGTAATGACCCCAGTGCATTTTACAGCCCTCAGCATGGTGGATATAAGTTATTTTGTGGATGCAAAGCATCGCTGCCAGCATGCAGCAATAAAACAAATGGATGCACAGGGGTTGCTCAGAGAAAGAAATGGGAGGAATGTACAGTGAAGTGAAGCATGAGGACAGCAGCACTACCAAAGCTCAAAATAACCTATATGCACCATGGCAGGATGGAGATGTATGCATGGGACTATAAAATGCAGAGAGATGATGAGGACAACTGAGAGGTGACGGATAGTGAACACAACAACAAACCTTGGTGAGATATCGCATCCTTGCTGCATGAAGGCACCCAGGGAGAACCACAGGCTATTAAAAATCCCAAAGTCGTTTGGCGGGTCTGGGGGGCTCTGAGGGTCTTTGACCTCATCATTCTCGTCCAAGTGCCACTCGTAAGGGCTGAAGCGGCTCACCAGGAAGAGCACCACACTCACGCCGATATAGGCAAAAACTATACACATCCAAATCTCATAGGCCAGTGGGTCCAGGAAGGAAAACACCCCAGGCTTGGACTTTTGAGGCTTCTTAATCATAATGGAGATGCCCAAGCTCATAAAGGGCTTAGAGAAGTCTATCACTTCTTCCCGTACCAACGTTATAGTTAGAGGAGCCACGGCTATGTCAGCTCTCTGTGAAAATGGAAAACAGGCACACAGGGAGTTAGTCTTTCAGAACAAACCATAAATAACCCCCCAAAGTGTTAAATAACCCACAGTCAAGCCAAGAACCATGACTATATATAAGTTACACTGTCCTATAATCATGTCCTATGATAACATGGCCAGGCATGCTTTAAAGTGAATCCATGGAGTAAACAGCGTGGACACAGTGAGATGAGGCAGCTTTGACTATACTGAATAGCAGACCTGTGATAAAGCCTCCCATCTGAAAATGAGTCACTCAGCATTTGTGTTGGCTAATGTCATTGTCTCGATCCAAATCTCCTCCATGAATAAGGCAGAAGGTCGGAAGACAGAGGTGGGGGAGATTTATGTAAGCGGTCCGTGAAATGTGAATCAGCCTGTTAAATTCATGTCCATCAGATCCTCTGCGATACCTGACAGGCTCATCTGTTAGTATCTTACTGCAGTGACAAATGTTGGCAGGGAGATGCTCTGAGGGGCGAGTAGTAAAGTAACTGATCTTAAAAATGCATAACACAAAGGATTCATATCTTAAATAAAATTAGGAGGGGTGTCAGCCAAATGTAGGTGTCCAGTCTTCATTACCTGTTTTCGGTGCCATTTATTTGTTTGTTAGTTTATCAGCCGGATTATGGAATAACTACTAGCCCGATTTTCATGACACTTAGTGGAGCAAGGCCAAAGGACAAGGACAAGCCCGTTAAGGTTTGGCCAGACAAATCATTTTTCACTTCGGTTGGGTTCATGTGTGTTATACAGCTTTGTTCTGTTGTTTGAGCATTTGATATATCTGTAGTTATAATTGTAGCTTAACATAATGTTTTTTGATTTCTACACTGTATGGCGGATACTACAGTTACTTCACTATGAGTAAATATTAAGGTGCTAAATCATACTGGTTTGTGTTTTTCTATATGCAAATTTAAATTTGACTCAAGTAAAAATGTCTTCCTTGTGAACATACAGTTCTCCAAACTGTTTTTGATAACAAACTGCTATGTCCATGGCTGGTTTTCACAAATGTATGTTAAGTGTGTAATATTTCCAATTTAGGAGTACATAATAAATAAACAGCTGAGACCATGAGGCTTCAGCTAGGCACTACCATATTTTGACTGTAATTCTGTAATTTTGGAAATATATCCAGACATAGTGGTTGCGCTTGCAGATCATAGAAGACTGGACTATTGGCCTTGGGGGAGATCTGCGAGTGCCCTTCTAGTTTTTTATGAGTCAATTTACATCTGAATTGCTAATTAATGACAATACAAATTCAGATTTGATGCAGAAATAATAGCAATGGTCTTGTAATAGCCATTTCAATTCTTACGGGGGTGGGGGTAATTTCTTTCTGTCTAGGCTTTTATTAATACTGGTAGGGCTACATGAGAGTAGAGTGGTGTGTGAAACAGCCATAACAACAGAAACTACAGGTGTTAAATTGAGAAATCATTATTCAGTCAGCAGCTGAGGTCTCATAAAAGATGCAAATAATCTTTTTAGAGCCAGTTCAAGTGTGAGTGACCCACGAAATGCATGACAAAAAACAGTCTAGGCAATTTCACAGTTGACAAAGGTTTTCCAAAACTAACTCATCCTCCCACTTATATGTTGCAAAATATGTTGTAGAAGTGCAACATATTTTTGTTTTTTGTTTTTTAATTACTGCCACTATCTTTGAATAATCGAGTATAATAAAGCTGTAATCTTACTACTTTAAAACAACAGCTTTCACATTTGTCTTCTGCTTATCGTGGCATGGAGGAAATTTTATTCCCCTGTGTGACGAGAAGAATGAAATTGATCAAGATTGATGTTTTACATGGTAACATTCACTTTAATCTTGGTTTGTTTTGACTAAAAATGGATTGAGTGAGTTTTTTAAAACCTATCATCTGGAGGATACTTTACTTTAGTTACTTTACTTTACAATAATCTGAACACATCCAAGGCTTAAGTAGATGGAAATGATAAAAGAACAGTTTTTCCCTCCCCCTTATGAGCTACAAAGGCAGACTGACACTTACCCCATAAACCAGTTCACCCACCATCCCATTCCACGTCTTGGTCTCTGGATCTCTGGCTCCGTACTTCCCATCGGGAACTACTGACAGTTTATATCTTATCCCCACATGTTTTGCAATTTCAGAAGCTAAATCGACACAGTAGCCTTCATATCTGTCATTCCCATCCATCTGCATATAGTTTTTCTTGTACATCACATACGGAGCTTCCTGTTAATCAGACATAATTTTGAGTTCATTGAAAAGAAAGCACACATCCACAGTGGCCAGACCGCAATGGTCACACACAAGGCCTTGATTGGCACTGTAGCATGCACAAGTGCAGGGGTGACAAACAAACAGATGTGGGGGGACACAAAAAGACAGACAGAGCAGAGGTTAAAAGGATCTACACAGCGTCAGTTGCAGGCATGTTATTGGGGGAATCCACAGACTTAAAAAACGGCTGCTGAAGTAAAGACGCCGACTGGGCCAGCGGGAGGAGGGAAGCATCTAACACATATAAAGGAGGCAAAGCAGGATCATGCCAGCCTCATCCACAATCTAAATCTGTGGAAATGGGCCATAGGAGGGGGGTTGCATGTGCTTTGCATCAGCATGGCACAAGGAGTGGGACAAGCTGAATGGGGCACTTTTCCAGTTCATAAAGTAAACGCCAGTGACAGCAGAGAAATAAAAGTGATCAGGAATTAATTCATTCACAAAGTATAGAGCGCAGAAATGTGTGAGCCACATCAGAAGAGTAGTCGTATGACCAAATAAAATGTCATACTGATTCAGTTTTCTTTGCAGTCGATAATATCATGACAATAAAATAATCTGCTTGTTGTGTTGATTGTTTATCTTGTTAGACTATTCCACATCACCTCTGTGCCTTGGACTTCAATAAAATATCATGGAATTCCTCCAAAAAGTAAAACATGTTTGCCATTAAACCTCCTTCAGATGAGCTGACGTCACCTTGAGGATATTCAGCAACAGGGACGTGCACAGGGGGGTTGCTCTGGTTGCCCGGGCAACTGCCCGTTTGCCTTTCCTGACTCAAGTTGCCCTTCCGACTCGCCCTTCCGAGAAAAAAAAATAAAATAAAAAAATAATCGCGATCGCAAAGCCTCATTCACTTCCATTCGGGCACCGAAAGTGAAAGTCAGTAGGGGAAGGGCAAACTCTGTTTAAGTGGCTGCACTGCTGCAGCGCTGCCTGCACTTCAGTCGATTCTGTTCCCTACCGGAATTCCTGTTTCCTTCCTTTATGCAATCATACTACAACAAATCATGCGTAGTTTTGCCCAGTTACCATACGTGATACGTACCAACAGAAGTGAATACAAGCTAGAAGCGCAACTGAATGTACGGGAAGCCAAAAGGTTAAAAAAGGATTGTATTTTTTTCCGAAATCTAAGCGTTTTTTTATTTAATATTTTATTAGAAGCGAGTTTTCCCCATCTGTCAATTCAATCTAGATTATTTATTTTAAAATAAAAAATAATGATTAAAAAAAACAATAAACAATAATATAAGGAACTCTTTTTCTCATATGTATTTTGGTGACATTTATATTGTTAATACATTTTGGATACTGTGTTTAGTGCCTTTTTTCAGGTCAGAGCAACTGCCCTTCAAAATTCCTGTGCACGTCCCTGTTCAGCAATGGTGATTTACTTTGTCTTATGGCATCTACATGTTTTTCAGAGGTCATTTGACTTACAATAGAAGTCATCTGCAGAGGAGGCTGTTATGTGATGCTTTCACAGTTTGACTCCTAGTGCTTCTTTACCCTCTCTTCCATTCTGCAGTCATGTAGACAAAATGAAAGGATCGCTTCCCTATAATAATAGGGTGGCCTTTCATTGAATATGACACTTTCTTTAAAGTTATGGAATGTAATAAAAACAACATGAAGTTAATGACATAACTGTGATGTATCTAAAATAACAGTTGTCTTTATTCAAATCAAAGGCATGCCTGGCAGTGAGAAAATAATGCAATGATACTACTCTTCTGTTTTTCCTCCCTCACTCTGAATACTGTTGTTACTTCCTGCCTGGTCATGAGGACAATGAGTTTCTGGACATTGAAATGAAAATGCGTGACTACCACATTCTGAATTTGCCTAAGATGGAAACATAATAGGCAAAGTCAGAAGGAACGAGAGGCCATGGTTTTAAATGTAAGATAAGGCGTACCCTATCTTACATTTAAAAATGGCTGATGATTACTAACCTGTGAATACTGTTTGCAACTAGTCTAACTAACACTGTGCCTAAGTCTGATACTGTGGGAGCACTGGTTTTGGAGATACCTACAACAGATACGTTGCAAGTCCGTGTCAATTTTAAGCAAGTTGAAGTAAATTTGAACAAAGGGATAAACAGCCACAGGGTGCAGCCTTTGGTTGTTTATGTCCTCCTTGTGTGCAGATCATTTCATGTCTCCAGTGAGACACAGCTGATTTACCCCAGCGTCACTGACAGTTTACTTAATGAGAGGGAAACATTTTTACTTACGTATGCACTGAATGTAAATACGATGGTGTCTATCACTATAGTTATCATTACCAAAGCCGTTATTGTGACGTCACTACTACAACAGCCCACTGTAATATACAAAAACCAAAATGCTTTGGCACCCACACGGATACAGTTGAAACACTCTCTGTGAATCGACTGTTTCAACATGTAGTGAGTGGATGGAAAGCAACTCAAAACAAAATAATTCTACCCTCCCAGGACAGATTGCAACAATGGACACCTTGACCTTGAGTGGCAGAAATCTTAAGGTGAAACACTTAAAACCTGCTTGAGAGTGTACCATAATAGTAGTGACCACAATTGTTCGGTTTTCCACAGAAGAGGACTCGTTGGTGACCTGCTGATCCATAATATATACAAATTTTTCGTACTCATTCCAGTAGCCGATCTGAAAATGACACAAAGGTTCAAAGTTAAAAAAAGTAGAAAGACATTTTTACAGCAGATCCTCCAAGTACGTATGATTTGGACGTCTCTATCTGTACAGCAGGATATAGTGTTGGTTTTGCCTGATGTATGATTTTATAAAAACCCTGTAGTGGTGCTTCTCACTTCACCTGGGCTACACTTCAGCAGAGTAGGCGTAATCTATTCCTGGCTCAGCAAATGTTCTATTACATAACAAGAAAGCAGCACTAATAGAGAACTCGAAGATAAAATTAATACCAGCAAGACAAACCTAATAGTCTAAATGTGCCTTATCTAGCCAGTGCAGTAGGTTGTTCTGTTGTTCTATTAATACAGCACATAGCACACACAGTATAATCCAACACAAAAACAAACACTGTCCTGTGTCTACTCAACCTGAGATGATTCCAGTAGTTGCATTGTGTTTATTTCTGTTACACTCTGATGTATTCAGCCAAGGAGAAGTCAGCATCTCCCACTTCTGGTAGCTGTGATGCACAGAACTCACTCTGTTGTCACTGCAGATTGTTTCACACTGAGTTTGGATGTGCGGGCCGCTGTTATGTGTGTTTCCTTGTGACTTGAACAATGTGGACAGTATGGGGCCACTCTTCCTTTTGGTTCCAGCTTTTGTGGGGACCTTGTCAGAGTTCAGGGTCAGGGAGCTAGCCGAGCCACAGGACTGTGAGTCTGTGTGTGTTTCCAGACAGCACTGTTTTTGCCTTTGGCCTGCCAATTATACAAACCCCAATTACAGCGCTGAGGGATCATGTGAGTGCAGTGAGACTCCCACTATTTGGAGATACATCAATGTAAAAGTCCAACTGCAATTAGAAATGTTATTTTGTTTTGCTGTCAAAAATCATTGTGAAAATTATTTTTCAAATTTATTGTTAATAGTTTTGTATTATTATTGTATTGTAAGTGGGAAAACTGTTGGATATCTATCAGAAATGACCTTTTAGCCTCCAAGCCTCAGAGGAAACAGGTCGATGTATGTGTTTATGAACAGACTTGCTCTGCTAACTGTAGCGTACAGACTAATAAGGGGATAGACAGTGTTTTGTTAGAGATATTGAAGAAAAGGACATAATCATTCAGCATCTGAGCTAAAAGACATTGACAAGTGTTACAGCTGTCAAACTAACTAGATAAATTACTTTTCAGAGAGAGTGCACTTCTCCCTCGGTTGACATTTGTTTTGGCAGCTCGTTTAGCAAGCCAGTGCGCAGCAGACAATACATGTGTCCATGACAAAATGGACACACTGTAGCTGAAAGCTAATGTGTGCTGCTGTTCTCAGATCTTAGCTCTTTTCTGTACATGTCTATGGCTGATGTGTATTCAAATGTAGTGTATGTATTTGTCTATGTGGTCAAATATAGACGCTGTAGCATAAAATAAACATGCAATTTAATTTTGGTTAATGCTGCAGAGGAAGGTGCATGTATAATTTGCTGTTGGCATTGAAGCTGTAAACCCTGCCTTACAAGAGCTGCAAACCCACCGAACAGCTTCGTTATACTGAGCTTTAATTGAATTGTTTTACTGTGATGGTGGTATAAAGGCTGTGTCAGAGGATTTCCTTGAAGAAAAGGCTGAAAATTTAACTTTAAAAAGTCACATTTAAATAAACAATACATTCACACACAATATCAGCTTCTTATAATCTTGCAAAGCGAGCCCACAAATTATAGTTTGCATTTGGTTGTCTGTCTAGACTCCATCCAAGCATTTGCTTGATATAAATTCAAGTGACTGGCAGTTCATGAACCCTTCAGTCACCTGATTGGACAGATGCACCACTCGCTGGGCTATCAGTGTTTTCACCATCACATTTTAAAGTTGTAAACACATGGCAGACACATAGCTGATCACGATGTTCCCAAGTTTTGACTCATAAACTACTAGTTCAGCTTCCATCTGCAGGGCTCGGCTGACTCTCAGTGGATGTTTTCCAGATTAAAATCTCAGTGGGGATGTGAGCTCACACAATTTGAGCCGGCTTTGCAAGACTGGGCTACAGGCAGCTTCTGTCCAAGTCAGAATCAACCCTACTACTCGTGTACTGCCTACACGCCAAGAGAAAGTCAAATCCTTATCACAGAGCTGCTTGGAACTTGTCTGTATTTATTTTAGTGGATTAAAAAAATGCAGCACTAATATTTATTTCATATACTAATGCTGCTCAGAGTATTTGATTACACATAAATTCAATCTTGATAGACGTTTCCAAGGCTCTGTGCTTACTTACCTTCCTTGGGCCTCCTGTCTTCATCTCGTACACATCAATTGTGTAATTAGATCGTCGACCAAATGTGTCAAACTGGATGTTTCCTGTCATACCTGGTATTTGGACCTGCCAGGCACCAAGAGAAGAATGATAATGCCGGTTCCTAATATAAAGCAAGTTAGCAAAATCCACATGAAAACATGCAACAAATGGACTTCATAAATGCAGTCCAGTTCTCTCCAGCACCTTCTGGTTTTTCAAGTGTGTTGTCTGTTCAATACATACACTATATGGAAAAGTAAAAAAGTACTGGGACACCCCTGTCCTAATACTTCTGGTATGGACTGTTTTTTCATGAAGTGGTCTTTGTTAAGGAAAATCTTCATGCTACAGCATACAATTATAGACAATAGTTCTTCCAACCGATGTGTTTGGCCTTTTCCTTTTTCAAAATGAAAATGCCCCTGTGCACAAAGCCAGCTCCATAAAGAAATGGTTTTCCCAGTCTGGTGTGGAAGATCTTGACTGGCCGGCACAGAGCCCTGACATCAACCCTATCGAACACCTTTGGGATGAACTAGATACAAAATTGTGAGACAGACCCTCTCGTCCAACATCAGTGTCTGACCTCACAAATGCTCTTCTGGGTGAATGGGCACAAATTCCCACAGACACACTCCAAAATCTTTCCAGAAGAATGGAAGCTGTTAAAGTTGCAAAGGGGGACCAACTCCATATTAATGCAGATGGATTTAGAATGGGATGTCATAAAAGTAAGAGGAGTCCCAGTACGTTTGTCCATATTGTGTATTTCCAGTGCCATCACGCATAGATACTCCCTGTCTATTGGAGAGGTAAATGTTGTGGCAGGAAAGTTTAGATTGACTGTGGTTGGACTGGTTTTAGACCAATCAGATCAATCTAGAGGGGGGACAAAATTGTGGATGATGGGCTTTCACTATTTACTCAGACAAAGAGATGGTTAGGTCAGCATGAATGAGATAATTAATCAATAAATTGTTTATTTGCTCACAATAGTAGTAAGGAATGGGCGTATCTAGAAAATAATACAGTTATAATATGTTATATGGAATGAAATATAGTGCTGGATTGGTTAAGGGTTACAGCACATGTTCATGAAGTTCACAAATCAGGTGCTTCATAAAACGAAGAGACATTTCTACCCAATAATGACTATAAATTATTATATAGGTTGGTGTTTGTGGCTTAGTGTTTAGTGATCCTTTAAGATTTAACAAAGAATCTCAAAGATGAAAGATAAGGAAAAATAGACAACCTTGGGTACCATAAAGAAACTATAAGCTTTGAATTAGAGTAGAGTGAAGAGTGAGCAAAGATCGAACTAAAGAGTAAATAGAATAAAAAGCAGAGCTGTTTACGGAGACAGTGGATGCCCTCAGTCCTACCATTTTCAGGGCTCTCTCTATGTCAATGCCTTGGCTCCAGGGCACAGCAGGGTTGGCAAGGCAGTCGCCGGCACTCCCCCTGCGAGACACGTCCACTCGCTGGCGCCGAAGGTACCGGAAGGCCTCCGCAATCACAAGAATGGCATCGTGGGTCAGTGCTGATGTGTACTGAGACAAAAGGCCACAAGAAAACCCCAGTGATTCAACACTGACATCATGCAGACCTTGCTATCACAGCAAGGTTATTATCTCCGCAGCAGTTCTTGCTACTGTATGTATACACTGTATGAGATCAGTGCTGCTGAAAATCAAAGCCTCACATTGTGATTGACACAAAAATTGCACAAGTATGAAAGCCGTATCTCTTCAAGGAAAAGCAGGTGACAAGTTATTTAAGCAACGTCTCACTGAAAAGATTCTGATTGACATTTTATCTCTGGTTTCTGCAAAGTTATTACATTAAAACCTGGGAGAAGAGGGGTGTAGAGAAAAAGTATTTTTGAAGATGTTAAATAAAATGTAACTGCAACATCGGCAGCTATGCCTCACTGACCTTCAGTGGTGTGTTTTTGGCTTCTGGAAATTCTCTTTCATCCAGGCGCTCCCAACGCTGGAGGAACTGCTGGACGATGGGGCTGTCTGGGTTGATGATCTGAAAGCCTGTGATGTTGGCTCCACCAGAAAAGACCCTGTCCAGGCTCATGTTGGAAAAACCCTGTGAGCAAAGAGCACAAATGGCTGGTGGTGGAGCAAGCCCTTCATTAGCTTATTTCTTAGTTCTGTTTAATAACTAGACTCAATTGTAAGTCTATCATCACTACATATTGAGAAATTTGACAAAACTACTGGGTGTTGCATGTCTTTGTGCTGCATTGCATCACACTGAGCAGTGTGATTCTGTTTTTTTTTTGGCAGTGTTGTGTTGGATTGTTGCATGTTGTGAACTCTCACCAGGTTGGCAAGGATATAGTGGTATCCTCTGCTGTTTTTTCCCGAGGTCACCACCTACAAGTCGCAGGAGGAGACACACAATGAGTCACATTCACATCTCATAACACTGAGAACATTTAGAGGGCTGAGATTCAGAAATGACAAAGACCTTCAATTTCATAACGCAGGGTAGTCGGTAGGAAGAAAGAAAGCCATATTAGGACGACATTTGCGAGGGCAAGAGGGAGCGTGTGAGCACATTTGTACATTTGGGTGTGTTTGTATGAGACACACACAGAGAGGGGAGAAACTGCAATGGCAGTGCTTGTTCCTTTCCATTAACTTCAACATGTAAAATAAGGTCACAGCTCCGGCAAACCTTCCTCTATCTCTGCAGCTGCCTGTGCTCTACAGTCTGCCTCCTCCTGCTCCGCCTGTCTCAGTCGCACACTAGACTTAATTAAACCCAAAACGTTGTACGGCACCTGTCTGAGCATGCAGACACACAGAGAGAGCAGCATGCTGCTCGCTGATTTCTTTAAACTTTTTCTCTCTCTCTCTCTCTCACTCTTTCACACACACTCACTCTCTCTCTCCATATCTCCCTGCATTCTGACTCTCCATCGCACAGTACGAAGCTTCAAAAAGATACTGTGGGGGTGGATAGTTGATTTTTTTCCCCTTTCTTTTTCACTTTCTACACTCCCACACTGTTTTGATAAGTATACTCTGGCAGTGAAATCATCTAAACACTAAATGTCCAGTGTGATAGTGATATCATGTTGGATAGATTTTATGGAGGACTTCAATACAGATGAGAATTGAAACAAGGACATCCATCCCTGTGGTATATTTTTAGTACTATTTCCGCATGACGTACTATTATATAATAATTGTCCAGCTTCTTATTCAGTGATTCCTATCATCATGCAGTCTCACACCCGTCCTTTAATTCACTCCTGTGCACTTTAAAACCCTCTGCTTGCTCCTACCTACCTACCTTAATGTCTCATAATTGTCTCTAGAGACGGAACGTCCTTGATGCTCCAAGGTTGGCCTTATGGCCGGCTTATACACTCTGAGCAATTTCAACAATAAATCCAATTACCTTCCTCGGAAATGCAAATTGATTTCATTGTGTTCGACAACCACCAGCGACTCTGAAAGCCCCACGCTCTGCATTTTCCCCATGAGCAAAAATTCCTGGAAGCTTTTCTGCTTATTGTCTTCCAATTTGTCCTGAAAAGCTTTTCATTTGCTATCCATCCATGTGAGAGGGAGCCATAGTGACCCAAGTGCAGCAACACAGAAGGCACTTAATGAAGCTGCAGTGCCTGGAGTGACTGACTACGACTCCTGTTTGTCACCAACACACTCAGGCAGAAAGCACAAGACTTCACACTTCTATATGAGCATCTAAATCTGACACGTCAACTGCTGTGTTTGACTGAAAGCTCGTTTAGCTGTTAGAAAATAATCAACTGTAAACATTTATTGCCTGCTGTAGCTATGAGGCACACAAAAATAAATAATGTGGGAGTGTTTCTGGTTTATTTGGTTGTCTGCTGGAGAGTAACAGGAGTGGTAAAAAGTTAAGTAAAGTACACTGAAGGCCTTTCATACACACTTTTCGTTTCTTGGTTTATTACTTTTGCCTAAACATTTGATTCCTGAAATTCATGGATTGATGTAAAGCTGTGATGCAAAGCAAATGCTTTTTAGCCCCAAATGGTCATTCACTGTTGATTTTATTCATTTTCATCCATACATTTCGCTTTTAGATTTAGCACTTGGCTTTTGTGTCAAGTATTTCTTTTCAGAACAACCAGAAAATGATTTGACTTGAAAAAAAGAAAGATAATCCCCTGGGAGCTACATAGTCACGCAGTTGACAGCGAGCACAGAAACTATTCTAAAGTTGGGATATCTGGCTGGTAATTCAGAAAAGGGGGGATGATTCTGGGAGGTGGCTCTTGTTTGTACTCACACAATGAATCAGTGAGCCAACACCAAACTAAAAGCTGTACTAGAGCTGACTGACATCCATTGTAGTGCTGCAGAGTGAAACAAATACATAAATGCAAAAACTATGAAAAGCTAACAAAGATGTTCACTTTCCACCAAATTATTAATATTCTTTCAAATTAAATTTTGTTTTATTGGCATGACCATAATTAGGTCAGCTACAGTATTGACAAAACATAATACAATAATTTCAGTTTCCATCATTCCTGTCAGTTAAACTTTAAAGAATATCGTGGCAATATTATTTTCCCTTATTTCAATATTATTAATGATAATTGTGAGGACAGTTGCATAGTTGTGAATCAAAATAATTTAAAAATGATGAATGTGGACCTTTGGGGACTAACAGTGAAAAATAAATTTACATTTTTAAAGAAGATCATAAAATACCAATGGTCAAATACAAAATAACTAAACCTCATAATATGCAGTGCGCTTTTTGTAGAACTATAGATCAGATATGCTCCTCTGTGATTTGGTGCAGCAGCTCCCAGTGATGAGAGTGAAGATGGTCATAACCATTATTTTACTGACTTTGTTGAATCATCATTGCAAACATTTACAGAATCACTCTGGTTTTACATAATTATTAACTTATGTTTTCATTGTGAAAACAAAATCGTACTGATATACTAATTTCTGCAAATACAATGGAATTTTATTTGTTTTATCATATTGAAAACAGATTATAATCAGAAACCTTTTTATAGTGTGACATATTCAGCTTTAGCAACACTACCTTCACCATAAATACACTTCTCAACTGATTGGAGCTTCTTAAAACAATATTACAACGCAGTCAGACTTTTGTGAGTAATGGATTTACATCATTCTGTTCAGTAAACCCTCAGTAAAGTTAAGTTTACCTTAAAGTTTACCTTTGAAAACATAAACAGGTTGACTTGCTGGAAAGAGGCCCCTGATAAAAGAAAAGGGGCCACTGGGGGGATTTATTTGTATTTATTTTTTAGCCTAACATACTTCATCTGAATCCCAGGGATGGCTCAGGCTGTTTTAAGTACAACAAATACATATTACAACAACTCAGGGTTTAACAAGGGTTATAGTGATGATTTAAAATGAAATTATCAAGACATCTTTCATCAGTCCTATTTTCATTTTCATGTGTCACTACAAGAGTACTACACATGTTCTTGTAAAGGATAATTTCATTTGATCTGCTCCTTCCCTCTGTTGGCAGAGCTGCTCTGAAAAATAGCATCTGGGCATAACAAATATTTTTAGGATCCTGATGCTCCAGTTTCATGGTCCCCTGGGATAATCGCTTTTTGTGAGTATGTGAAGCCAGCAGGAGCCTGGAAGAGGTCAGGCACTACCGTCACTGAGAGAACAACACTTTTATTGTCACAGGACTCATATCCTCCTTTCTGACTAAATCCATTTCTCACAAAACAGCTTCTTCAAACAGCTCGGGGGACAGAGGACCTGCGGCCTGTAAGTGAGAAGGAACCAGCAGCACTGCTTGTACTGACTGGCTCCTACATTTTTAATGCTCATTGAATGAAAAGGATAGTCTAAGTGCCATGCCCTGTCATGTGTTTCTACAGTTAATGTTCTCTTCTGGCAACAGTCCAAAGCCCCGTGGATCTGTGAAGAGTCCAAGAAGGCTGAATCATTTAATCTGAAATATAATTTATGATGGGCAATCAACATGACATGTCCTTAAAGAACAACTGGTATAAATAAATTATCAACTTAATGGTACCATGTGGAGATGGTGACCAATAGCGCTATGATGATTTTGATAATTTTTTTGATAATGATTTTAAGAGTTGCTTCCTGTTTTCTTTGACGTACATTCACGCGAGATACACATTCCTCCTCCGCTGATCAACAGTTGGTGCTGGTAACGCACCAAGAAACATAGCAGTGAATTAAAATATATAGTGTTTAGGTGAGAAACACTGAATGAAAACACAACTGTGTTTGTTTACAAGAAAACTGCACAGGGTTTCTTTAAAGGTATGTAGGCTAAGCTAAGCTAACTGGCTGTAGCTTCAGATTTAAGAGTGTTATCTGTCTTCTCACCTCACTCAGCAAGAGAGCGAACAAGCGTTTTTCCCAAAAACTATTACTAACTTTAAAGACTAATCAAAATGTGTTGTCTTTAAACTAGTACTAAGGTAATGTTGTAATAAAATAAATGGTGTAAAAATAAGAGGATGCTCCCCAGTGAAGGACTGAGTCTTAATCTCAGCACATCATCTTCCAACCCCCGCCAGTGTTGCTACATCTACACATTAGTATTCACGTCCTTGTTGAGGATATAATCAGAAATATGGAGCCATCTCCCTGTGCTGTAGACAAACTCCAGTAACTCTAGAGCACAGACAGAGAGAGAGAGAGAGAGCAGTTTTCTCAGGTCTCAATTATCTTTATTTGTGCATCCTCAGGGCTCCGCCTGTCTGGATGAGCAGGTCTGTGGCATGCTGTTTGAAGCAGGCCTGAGCTGGGCCGAGCTGCAGGACGATCAGCCTAAATATTCCTGCGGGAATCCACTCTAATTAAGCAGACTGGAGCCACAGTCCTGTGCTAAGCTGGATGTCTGCCCAAGTGCCTTCAAGAGGATTTGACTCTCTCCCCACTGATGGAGGCTTCTCTTTGTTACAGTGATTTGTCATCTGCCTTCTTCAGAACCGGAACGGGCATCCTAAGGTTGATAACTGTCCCTTTTCACCAGTCAACTAATTATTGTTACGCTACTCATAACAGGGCAAAATGTGAAGAGGGATTTAACTGTCAAAGAAATACATTAAAGAAAGAAAATATAGCAAATGAGGGACACAGCTCACACATTGCTCCAATGCCCTGTTGTTCCCCAATCTTCACCACAAAGCTGAATCTTCGAATGGATTAGCCTCATTATGAAACTTCTGTCTCCCTCTGTACATTACACACAACATACACAATATTTTAGACACATTTGGATGAAACCTCGAAACCCATTTTTTGTTCTTTTTTATTTCTAGGTATTAATATTAAAATTTTTATCACATGATAATTACCCTCCTCCTTGTCTGATTTAACAA